AACTAACTAACTAACTAACTAACTAACTAACTAACTAACTAACTAACATCTATCTATCTATCTATCTATCTATCTATCTATCTATCTATCTATCTATCTATCTATCTATCTATCTATCTATCTATCTATCTATCTATCTATCTATCTATCTATCTATAGAAGATCTCTAGATAGAAATTTGGGTGGTTTGTTGGATGAACAGATTGGTCAAAGGATGGATGGATAGTGGTATGGACAAAATGTTGATTAAAAACAATCAAAAAAAAAGGATAAAAACTGAAGAAGAAATAAATGACTGATGCATGCAAGAACATTTATTTTTTACCTGCTCTTATGTTCAGGTTTGGCATCTTAAAGAACTTGCAGCTCTGGACGCTCTTATTAGCGATGGGTTCCTCAGGTTTGCCAACAGGTGGATGGGTGGGAGGAGCTTGGGTCGAGGGCTTCTCCAGCTCAGCCTTGGTCTTCTGGGGGGAGGCCAGGGTGAAGAGGCGGTTCTGACTGGGAGAATCTTCTTTAGGCTTTGGGGGTGAAGCTACTTTTGTAGGAGCAGCAGCAGAAGGAGCTGGGTCCTTTTGGCTGAAGCTCAGATCATCAACCATGGGGATTTCTGGGGGTTTGGAGGAGGCAAACTTGGAAGTATCCAGAGCTTCGAGAAACTCATCAATCACACCTTTGGGTGGTCTCTCAATGAACTCAAACTCTTCAGAGGAGGCTTCATGCTCTGAGACCTCCTCTCCCATCTCTGGTTCTTCCATTTCCATCTTTAGGTCCTTCTCAGTTTCTACCTGGAAGCTGGCGGGATTCTTAGCCATGGCCTCCAGGACTGGAGACAGGGAGTCCGCTGTTGGTGAATCTGAATCAGAATCTTCAGCAACGGTCTTTTTGCTCTGGAAGTCAAGTGGCTCAAACGTTTTGGTAATCTTGGGAGAATCGTGGCTTGAGAACCAGTCTTTCTGCTCAATCTTGACAGGTTCCTCTTCTTTGACATTAGCCGGGGACGTTTCTTCCACCTCTTTGACTAGATCAAATGCACCAATGCTCTTCTCTTCAACTTTTTCTTTTTCAGATGCTCTCGCCTCCATTTCCTCAGTCATCTCTTTCAGCAGGGACACTTTAGTCTCAAAAGCAAAGGGGTTGTTAGCAGACAGGTTGATGGGAGGATTGGGGGACTCCATCATCTTGCGTTCAAGAATAGGACTTTGCTCCTCTGGACTTCCCTCGGAAGATCCAGAATCTAGTTTTTCAGGGTTGAGTGGGGAAGACTTCAAGATATCTGGAAGTGATGGAGGAAGAGCAGAGTCTTCTTCCTCTTCTTCATTATCTTTAGGACCAGATAAGAACTGATCCAGTGACTGCATGAGGGACACATTGGCCATCTTGCTGGTCTCAAATGTTTTCCCCTCATCTAAAATGGAGGATAGATTCTCCACAGATTCTCCAGTTTGCCCATACTGGACCAAATCTGGTGTAGGACTCTCTGACATTTTGGGGGCCATGTTGTCAGATTTGGGTTCTCCAAAATGGGAGTAGCCACTGTCTGCCAGTGGAGAAAACCCATCAAAAGGGTTATTATTGTTCTTCATCTCATACATCAAGTCTTCATCTTCATCAGACTGGTTTCCACAAACGTCTGGGTCATACCTGGAGGACCTAACTGTGGTTGTGTCCTTGGTAAATGAATCCATGGAAGCCTTAGAGTTGTCTTGAGATGAGAGGAACGGTAAATTCCAATGCTCTGTTGGGTTAGAGGAGGCAAGATGAGACTCTGGAACCTTTATGTGAGGGTTCACAGGGGAAGGGCCAGTGGAGGACCTGTCTGAGCTAATCAGCTTCTCCTCAGGTGAAACAGAAACACCGCTGTCTTCACATGGATTATGTCCAGAGTCTTTCCCTAAACTCAAGTAAGGACCAGCTAACGAATCCAGGTGGTTTTCCTTTGTTTTACTATCACTGTCTTCACCCTCCCAAGGCATGCTCTTGGTAAAGGCGTGGGGGGGCTCAGTGGAAAAGGAACCAGAGAGTGCAGCAGATCCTGGAGGAGGGGGCTGGTTTGGACTTTCATTCAGAGAGAGCTCTTCAAGAGAATCGGGTGAATGGAGAGGAGAGACGGGGGAGATGGGAGCAGGGGAATCACCCTTCTGCCCAAGTTCTTGAGTAGAGGGAGAGGAAGGAGAATGCAACACAGCACAGATCAAAAACATACTCCATGCCTGACAAGGCCCACTACACCTGGGTGATACTCTAAAAGGTTCAGAGACCAGGACCAGACAAGTGCTGTTGAAAGTTGACTGTTAGTCCTGAATGTTCCAGCTGTCTGATAGTAACACATCCAACAGTCCCATATCTTCATCTGTTGCAGAAACAATAACATAATACATACCAGTACTGGTCTCTGTACATTCAGATTAAACAGAGTTATTCCTGATCACTATGCTAAATGTTTAATTCACGTTTCTTTTAGCTGAAACAGATTACTTAGTTTTGAATGTCACCTGAACTGAGTGATGGATGATTTAAAACACAGAATATTGTTTTAATGTGTAAGCAACAGTCCTGTGGAGATGACAGGAGAGCTCCTAATATCTCAGCGAGCTGTCAATCAAGACTAATGATTTTCAGAGATGTGCAGCTTATATCAGAGAATCTGGCGACTGACCTTCATCCCTCATACTGTAAATTTTTTTTTGTTAGTTTGTAAAAAAAAAAAAAAAATGTTGTTTTACCGTGATGTTCTTGGGTGATTCCTAGTAAAAGTGGGTAATTTCCCCCTAAAATCTCTAAATTGTTCTCATGCTCTGCAACAGGCTGTCTTAATCACCATGGGGACAAAACAAACCTGCTGTTTCATTGTTTAAAACAAAAACAACCTTTAATGAACAGAAGCCAGAAAAAAACAGGAAACAGGCATTTGGGTATCAGTCGTGGCCCTACAGGAAGTAGAACAACAAGGTTTCTGTCCCCATCTGAAAGTCTGGGGATATTAAGTGTCCTTCTGTCACCTCTTCTCTGGTAAATGTTGTCAGTTTTAACTTGTAACAATTCACTACAACCTTTGACCATCTTGTTCTGGTAATGCTGTTAAATCAGATTTTAGGGTTTCAAGCCAATTTCCTGAATGTTTGTTGGGTCACAGGAAGCACTGGTTGGTAAAACTTGTGTTTAATGTTTTTAGAAGACAATTGTTGGTATTATTGTTGTAAAATACTGGCAATCATGAAAAATAAAGCTAACGTTATAGTAAATCTTTAAAACAACCCTGAAGAACCATTTTAATGTTCCAGCAAACGTTCTGTAAGAATCAAGCGGTTCTTTTTCTGCCAATTAAGCAGGACGAGAATAAAACAGTCAACTTTTTCCAGCCTTTGTCTGCTGATCTCTGGTTGGAAGCAGAGGGGGTCATTTTAATGTTTTAGCTCAAGGTTTAGTGCCAACAAACCATGCCCGGTGTGTAACAAACAAACTGTTAGATGATGTATATTTAGATTATTTATATCGTCTGTCATCACTGAGGATAATTATTATTTATTACTTGACTTAATAATAATTTACAACACACACACACACACACGTCACAATGCAGCACAACAAGAAGAAGCAGGTGTGGACTTTTAGAAGGTCTTTCTGACATGCAGCACATTACTGAGGATGAAGAGGAGATGAAGACGAGCGAGCACAGAGAACTTGCCTGTTGGGAACTGCATCAGAGGACAAGGCTGAGCGTTAAGAGAAGAAGGTTCATCTGTGGGGGAAAAAAACAGAAAAACCAAGCAGCAAGAGGTGAGTTCAGAGGTGAGCCGTGAAGAAAGAGGAGACAGAAATCATGTTCACTACAAGACAGAAGGTCTGACAAGTTTTAACAAGAGGGATGCCAATGTCCCCCGTCGCTGAGGGATTAAATAGACAATGTTTGTAGTTTTTGAGATGAGTGTTTTTCTGGACGTAAATATACCTGAACGTTTTTGGTGCAAGATATTCAAGTGGGTAGGAGTGACAGTATGGAAAAGAACAGAAGGAGTGACAGATCCTGGAGAGTGGAGACATTTTATCGGTTTTATTATATTTGGAGTTCCTCAGGGTCCAGTGCTTGGACAAATACTCTTTACCTTATATATCCTTCCATTGGGTAAAGTTATTAAACCGCATGGGATAAATTATATTTATAAACTTTATTTACAGTTATATTTGTCCATTAAACCCAATAAATCCAATCAGCTACTTAGACTACAAGCAAAGACATAAAAACATGGATGACCCTAAATTTACTGCATTTGAACACAGACAAGACTGAGGGTTTAGTTTTTGGACCTGAGCATCTTATCTCTATTTATCAGTTTTTCACCATCCTTGGATGGCATTAATCTGGCCTCCAGCTCTAATGTTAAAAATATTGGTGTTATTTTCGATCAGGACATGTCTTTTATCCCCCACATTAAAAACATTACTAGAACCGCCTTCTTCCAACTGTGTAATATCGCTAAAATTAGAGACATCTTACGTAAAAATGAAGCAGAAAAACTTGTCCATGCATCTATCACATCTGTGTGCAGCTTGAAACCTTCTGGCTCCCCCTTTGATGTGGTCCCCCCCATGACTACTAAAGGGGTTTTTTCCAACTCTAGGTCCTTCCATTCTTGATATAGTTAACAGTAGTTTATCCACTGGTGTGGTGCCAAAATCCTTTAAACATGCTGTCGTCCAACCTCTCCTGAAAAAACCAAACTTTCACCCCTCAGTCGTATCCAACTTCCGGCCTGTCTCCAGACTCCCATTTGTTTCTAAAGTACTGGAGAAAATAGTCGAGTCCCAGTTGAAGTGCTTCCTGGAGGATCACGCCATCTTAGAGCTTTTCCAATCTGGCTTTAAACCTCTCCACAGCACTGAAACTGCGCTGCTGAAGGTCTTTAACGACATCTTCAGATTCACAGATACCAGTGATTCTGTGCTGCTTGTCCTGTTGGACCTCACAGCTGCCTTTGACACCATCGACCATGAGATCCTTATTGCTAGGTTGGAGCAGTGGAAGGGCGTCACAGAATCAGACCTCAATTGGTTCAGATCTTACCTCGCTGACAGATCCTTTTGTGTCTCCAAGGATTTTAGTTCTGCAGAGGCAGACCTTAAATGGGGGGTTCCACAGGGGTCCATCCTGGGTCCCCTCCTATTCTCTTTATACCTGCTGCCGCTTGGTGCTATTTTCCGGAAACACAACATGCCCTTCCACTTCTATGCCGATGACTGTCAAATTTACTTCCCCCTAAGACACAATGGTACATGCTCTATTCAACCACTGCTCAACTGCCTAGCTGACATCAGGGACTGGATGGCTTTAAATTTCTTGAGTTTCAATGAAAAGAAGTCTGAAGTCATGTTGTTCCCTCCCAACGACACGATCACAAACCACTGCATCGACCTCTCTGCTCTAACCCTATCAGAAAAACAAATAGTCACTAATCTGGGCGTGATAATGGACCCTTCCCTGAGGCTTAACAATCATGTTGCCACTGAGTGTCCGGCAGGCTCCCACACTCTCAGTCTTTAAGTCTCGCTTGAAGACCCACTTCTATTCGCTTGCCTTTAACACGGTGTGATTTGTTTTGGTCCGGTCTGTTCTCTACTCTGTTGGCCATTTTAGTTAGCTTCTGCTGCTATTTGTATATGTATTTCTATTTTATGTTTTCCTGTCTGCTGTGCATGTTTGGTTCTTTTGTACAGCACTTTGGTTGGCCTTGTTGCTGTTTTAAGTGCTATATAAATAAATTGGTATGGTATGGTATGGTATGGTATGTAAACATGATTGTTAAATCATGCTTCTTCCAACTGAGGCGGCTGTCTAAACTGAAGTCCATATTGTCCAAAAATAACCTGGAGACAGTAATACATGCATTCATTACATCTAGGCTTGATTACTGCAATTCGCTCCTGTTTGGTATCAGTCAGACCTCCATTGCACAACTATAACTGGTCCAGAATGCAGCAGCCCGATTTTTAACCAGTACAGGCAAAAGAGAGCACATTACACCAGTTTTGGCCTCACTGCACTGGTTACCGGTTCACTTTCGAATCCAGTTCAAAATACTCCTGTATGTCTACAAATCACTGAACAGTGTCCCCCCCCCCCATCTCTCTGATCTGCTACAACGGTATGTCCCAACACGTTCCCTGAGGTCAGCGGATCAGTTGCTCCTCACAGTTCCAGGAACTCGTCTTAAGCGCAGAGGTGACAGGGCCTTCTCTGTAGCAGGACCAAAATTCTGAAACAAGTTACCTCTCTGCTTGTCAGACAGGCCCCCTCCCTCTCGGTTTTCAAGTCCCGTTTAAAAACTTACTAATATTCAGTAGCTTTCAACACCAGATGAACTGTGTTTTGATCCTGTATGCTCCACACTGGTTTGTCGTCATTATCTGCATCGTTTTTTGTCTATATTCTGATTTACCTCAATTTGTATTTTGCTTGGTGTGTTACCTGTTGTTTTGTCTGTACAGCACTTTGGATGGCCTTGTAGCTGTTTTAAGTGATTTATAAATAAAGTGGTATGGTATCTAGACTGGACTATTGCAATGGTTTATTATCTGGGTGTCCAAATACTTCTTTAAAAACTCTTCAGTTGAACCAAAATCCTGCTGAAGGAGTCTTAATTGGAGTTAGTAGGAGAGCTCATATACAAACCGGATTCCAAAAAAATTGGAACGCTAAACAAATTGTGAATAAAAACTGAATGCAATGATGTGGAGATGGCAAATGTCAATATTTTATTCGTAATATAACATAGATGACAGATCCAAAGTTTAATCTGAGTAAATGTAACATTTTAAAAGGAAAAATATGTTGATTCAAAATTTCACAGTGTCAACAAATCCCAAAAAAGTTGGAACAAGTAGCAATAAGTGGCTGGAAAAAGGAAATTGAGCATATAACGAACAGCTGGAAGACCAATTAACACTAATTAGGTCAATTGACAACATGATTGGGTATAAAAAGAGCTTCTCAGAGTGTCAGTGTCTCTCAGAAGCCAAGATGGTAAGAGGATCACCAATTCCACCATTGTTGCGCAGAAAGATAGTGCAGCAATACCAGGATGGTGTTACCCAGCGTAAAATAGCAAAGACTTTTAAGTTATCATCACCAACCGTGCATAACATCATCAAAACATTCAGAGAATCTGGAACAATCGCTGTGCGTAAGGGTCAAGGCCATAAAACTCTACTGGATGCTTGTGATCTCCGGGCCCTTAAACGTCACTGCACCTCAAACAGGAATGCCACTGTCAAGGAAATAACAGAATGGGCTCAGGAATACTTCCAGAAAGCATTGTCAGTGAACACAATCCACTGTGCCATCTACCGTTGTCAGCTGAAACTCTACAGTGCAAAGAGGAAGCCATTTCTAAGCAAGATCCACAAGCTCAGACGTTTGCACTGAGCCAGGGGTCATTTAAAATGGAGTGTGGCAAAATGGAAGACTGTTCTGTGGTCAGATGAGTCACGATTTGAAGTTCTTTATGGAACACTGGGACGCCATATCATCCGGACCAGAGAGGACAAGGATAGCCCAAGTTGTTATCAACGCTCCGTTCAGAAGCCTGCATCACTGATGGTATGGGGTTGCATGAGCGCTTGTGGCATGGGCAGTTTGCATGTCTGGAAAGGCACCATTAATGCAGAGAACTATGTTCAGGTTCTAGAACAACATATGCTCCCATCTAGACATCATCTCTTTCAGGGAAGACCCTGCATTTTTCAACATGATAATGCCAGACCACATTCTGCAGCAATCACAACATCATGGCTACGTAGAAAGATCCGGGTACTGAAATGGCCAGCCTGCAGTCCAGATCTTTCACCTATAGAGAACATTTGGCGCATCATAAAGAGGAAGGTGCGACAAAGAAAGCCCAAGACGATTGAACAGTTAGAGGCCTGTATTAGACATGAATGGGAGAGCATTCCTATTTCTAAACTTGAGAAACTGGTCTCCTCTGTCCCCAGACGTCTGTTGAGTGTTGTAAGAAGAAGGGGGAATGCCACACAGTGGTAAAAATGGACTTGTCCCAACTTTTTTGGGATTTGTTGACGCCATGAAATTTGGAAACAACAGATTTTTCCCTTAAAATGAAACATTCTCTCAGTTTAAACTTTTGATCTGTGATTTGTGTTCTATTCTGAATAAAATATTAGATGTTGGCACCTCCCCATCATTGCATTCAGTTTTTATTCACAATTAGTTTAGTGTCCCAACTTTTTTGGAATCCGATTTGTATAATAATAATAATAAATAAAATGCTATGTGTTGTCATCATTATACAGTATGTTCCCATACAATGGCAAAATTAGTTCTCTGCAGTTAATCCATTGCACCTGGGATACATCTAGGTGGAGCAGTGGGTAGCCATGTAGGTGCCTGGGACCAATTAGGAATTGGGGGTCTTGCTCAGAGACACCGTGGCATGTGGGAATGGCTGGGGATCAAACCTGGGACTTTTGGGTCCCGAATCGGCTGCCTGCCTCTACCCTATCTTTGCCCCATGAAATACAGTGGGGAGAACAAGTATTTGATACACTGTTGATTTTTCAGGTTTTCCCACTTGCAAAGCTTGTAGATGACTGTAATTTTTATCATAGGTACTCTTCAACTGTGAGTGATGGAATCTAAAACAAAAATCCAGAAAAATACAATGTATGATTTTTAAATAATTAATTTCCATTTTATTGTGTGAAATAAGTATTTGAT